AACATTCCACTGAACCAGCAATTAATAAATGAGAAACAATTAATTTCATTTGGATGACTTCTCGAGGATTGCACATTGTGTCCTGTCGACATGCGCATGCAACTCGGAAAACATAAAATTTCACACAAAGTACGAAATCATAAACCCGTCCAAACTTTCCAAATTCATTGATCAATTCAGCAGTCGTTTTCCACCAGAAAAATAGTGGATGTTTTCACGCTCACGCAGTTGAATCTGAAGTTCAACGATTCGAACCAAGTATTTGACAAAAAAAAAAACATTAATATCTCCCCATAGATCAATTGAAATGCAAGCAGTGCGGTGAATTTACAGCGTTTCGAAATGTACATATTGGGTGGGATATTTGGAGCGATTGATTTGAGCCTCTTCCGCATGTTGACTCGGTGCCATCGAGCCAATCATTGAATCCAGCCTGGCGCGTAAATTCGCAAACAAAATAGCCCACATAAACATTGAACGCCCAAAATCGTAATATATTTATCAGGAGCCTACACATCACGCTGATGTTAAATTGCATCATCAGTGTGGTTGACTGTTGGTGGGATTTTCACACCGGAAATTAATGATCGGAAGTATCCCTTCAACGTTAAAAGGCACGTATTGAATTAGCCATCTTGAATGTCACGTAGCAATCTAGCTACTGAGATTGTCAAGAGGCATTTAAGGCTTCAAGCGTGATCGTATTACAACGTCATTATAATATAGGCATATGAGCCGGGGGGGTTATCAGTGCTAAGCAAGGGCAACGTTAAACCGTAGAATGCCAAGCATGCTGGTGAAAACCGATCGGACAGCCCAGACAGATGGACACATGCAAAGGCTTTATACCGAGTGTGTAATGTAATCGGATAGCGAAACTAGCAATGCGGGACAAGGACTACAATCAGCCGTATATATGCTTGCAGAGGGAATGCATTCGCAGAGGACCCATTACAGTTCATTTTGCCGGATGATCATTTCACAGTTTCATGGGTGTTACGTGCTGTTCTCAAACGGAATAAATATATGGACATTAGTCAGCATTTCAATGCGAAGGCTTTTATTATTATTAATTCAACAAATCCAAATATTTTACCGGTTTATTGGATTAATGTTTGTTCGTGTCGGTTTTAGTATTGCGCAAGCATCGTTGATGGGATTAATAATATAGACGCGTTTCAATGAATTTTAGGAGATATTGAGTCTTCTGTACTGTGGAAAATCAGCAGTGCAATCTCGATATCAAAACACATTGCTACATGGGGGAAGCAGTAGTTTTTCACCCTATGTCGGGGTAAAAGTGGGAGATGAATAGTGAATTTTTCTCCGCTGGTCCGGTAAAAGCTACTAAACGTGGGGGTAATTTGTGTCGAAGCTGTTAAATTTATCCTGCTTTCCATAAAATATTATCCCAGTGAACGTGAATGATTGCGCAATATTACGTATAATTTTTCTGTAACGGAGAATTATTTTTTACCGAACGCGTTCAGTAAAATTTCACTTCCATTCGTCAAAATCAATTAATTCATCGAGATATCTTTCACACCGTTATATATTGAATGACAATCATCCGAGGGACAAGTTGATAGGAATTCTCTGAACACATATGTGATGTTTCAGGGAAAATTCTGTTTTTGGTTTCCAATATGTAATAGAGAAATCAATTTCCTCGAACAGAATACATATGCAAGCATTAGTCAATATTGGAATGAGAAATGCTTTATTATTAATTGAGTGAATTGAGATAATTGTTGGGTTATTGGAACCATATCTATACGTATTATTTTTAATTCTACTAATGGTGTGTAACGATATTGATGGAGCGAATAAAAATATTACCAGTTTAATGAATCAAAATTTATTCGCGTCATTTTCAAAATTTAGTCGGTATTATTGTTGGTATAAATGGTATGTTCACGTTTTCATGAATTAAGAGCAATTGATTCACTAGCATTTCGCTCACAGCTCAATATATTGAATGAAAATCATTCAAGAAGAATGATCAAAAGAAGTACCAGAATGGAATTTCGTAGTTATCTATCTGCTAATCGGGGCAAATCCCCCGATTGATTTCCAATATGTAACAGAGAAATCTCGTTTATTCACCTGGGCTGTTACTTCTGCATCCTGCACAGTGCCATCATAATTATTCTACAATTTCATCACTATCTATACATGAAAATTTTAATATGTTCGCATTAACATCGATAATTTGTGTGATTCAATGTATGTTCCAATAAATTTAGAAATTAATGAGTCTCTGCCACATGTGCTATAGACGATGATTAATGCAAACTCGGCAGGGGAAAATTATTATAGTTTAGATGCATTAATTCATCGGGTTTTCTACGCAAAAGTGGGACACCAATTTTTCGAACGTATCACATACTGCAGACAGGATTCGTGACTTCGTCTACGTGATATCAATAGGAGTGGAGTAAAACAGACCTTCTTTAATCGTCAACAAATTCAAAAAATGTAAATTGCAACTTTTCGATTTTTTTCTTCCTTTCCAAATTTTCTTTAAAACTTTGAAATAAACTTCGAGTCATGTAAATGGATCATTTTTCAGACCAAGTCGGTTCTATTTCTCCCAGACTATTCAATCCCTTCATTGGCAATATTATTTCTACAGAGTGAAAGAAGCTTAAAACAGAATTACCCAGAATTACGGAAATTTTCCTTTCTAAAACATCCTATGGTAGCAAAATGTAATTTAATGAAGAAATCTTATGTTTCATCAAGTATAAAAAAGCCTCTGATGAGAGCAAAATCGACAGCTATTTACAGTAATCTCCATATCGGCAAATTAATGAGATGGGATCACGGAATATTGCAAAAGAAATCACCAACACTGACAAGAGTTAAATTTAATTGTTGAATGGTGAACTGTGAGTTTATTTATACTCATATGCCAGGCGTAGATGCTGAGAAGAGAAAAACGTTGAATGTGTCAAGGGCCGGGAAGAGCTAATATATTTAGCAAACCGTCACATCCACGACAAATTAGTCAACGTTGTTAATTTCCCCCTGCAACCTCCCGTGATCCTATCTAATCAGTGATGACCTTCCCGTACATTTCGCGCTTTGTAAAGTTAAAAATAATCCCCCTGGTGGGAATTTTCCAGTGGCAGCGACTGAAAATTTAGTTGAGACATAAAGTATTGTATGTCACACGGCGATAAAAGTATTTTCTGGCTCGTGTGAGAATAATCCGAGCCGATGGCTCGGATTATAAAGTCACACTCGTCAGAACGGTATTTTACAAGTGCAAAGTTGGCGACACGAGCTGAAAGCGAGTGCTGCCAATCGCACGAGTCAAATAACCCCGCGGTACCAGTTGCGTAAAAACCTTTTCATCCGTGATTTTACGTTCACCGAGTTGGTGTTATCTACTACTTTACAGAGGGGGTCTGTAAAATTATTTAACATACGAGTTGATCGTAGAAGTAATTAAGAAACAGTACATTAAGTCACCAGGCGCTAAAAGTATTATCTGACGAAAGTGACCTTATCTCTAATTTCCCCAATTACATCCTGCCGTTTACGCATTCTTTTCTTTCCTCCGAATCCTGAAGTTAGCGTCACTCAATTGTGTTGATTCATTCCTTTTTTCTCCTAACAACACTCCTTTTTGTATTTCTTCTCGCCTCATTTTTAATTTAATAAAGACTTATTCATTTGGACTCGCGTATTCTTTAATACTTTTATCGCCGTATGACGCACAATATTTTATATCACTGGACCTGAAAACCGCGATCTAACCGGATGTAGCGAGGTTAGAATCGCGATTTAGGAGACCTAGTGTCATAAAATACTTTTATATAAAATATTTACATCACATGGTCCGCATAATCGGAAGATCCTGCGTTCAAATCCCAGTCTGGACAATCCAATTTTTTCAGTAATTTTCCTTGTAAACTAATATCGAGAATTACCCTGGTTCCCTTCCTACCTACTCCAAAATCCTATCCAGCAACATTCTGTGACGCCACAAAATGTGGAGCGCTATGTAAACTCTCGTCTTCTGTGGAAAATTCTTTACTAGTTTTGCCTCGCATATCAAAGGAACATTCATTTAATTTTCTGGCATTTCCCTTCCGAGAAATACATTGATCATTAAAACGTCAAATTTGTAATATCACGTGGAAAAGCCAGAAGCTCCTGTTATTACAGAAATATAAACTCGGTGTATTCATTTTGGTGTAACCCAGATTTCACCTGGTTACAGCAGCAAACATCAAAAATATATGAATTCCACGAGGGGGTTATGTCATTTTCATTTATACCCGGCGGCCGCATAAACAGAAAATACCGAGTCTGCTGTCGTATCCCAGAGTAGCTAAGAATAACGTATATATCTCATTCCCATACCAACAAGTGCCATGATGCGGATACACTGCAATTTTCAGCTTGAGAAGAATGACGAGAGCATCGCGATCATTTTCGCTGCTCCATCCAGATTATCATCCTCAAATATTCGCTAATTAAGAAATTTTCGGTGCTCCGTCAAGAGCGTCTGACCTGGATCTTCCAGAATTGATCGTAAAACTCTCAAAACCGAATTATTAACACATGGGATTCGGATCTTTAAAACATTTAGTTGGCAACAGTGCACCGTCGGGGTTACGATTATAAATAGCCCAGAGCTCCATTCTTGGGAGGCTGGTCATGACTTCTACGACCGATTGAATTTAGGAGTTGAATCGTTGCACCGTCCAACTGTTGAAACATTTAAAAAATTCTCGTTCGATTTTGCGCGAAGACCACGCGACATGTGTCCCACAGCTGCAACTAGACACGAATAATTTGTGTGACCGCATCACATGTAGCCAATGCACATGGAGACCATGCGCATTCTACCATTCCATTCGACATCCATAATTGTTAAAAATAAATGAGAGCCAACCAACGAATGAAAAACATATCCAATTAAAATAGCCCAACAAAAGTGACTAAAATAATTGAGAGAAGTAGAAAAAAATAGGGTCGTTACCGACCTTGTACCCGGCAGACCAGAAGCATATAAATACAAATGATCCCATGGCTCGTCGTTCCCCGAAACCAACTTCTCCAGTTATCCAACATTGTGGTGTTGTGAACGGCTGTCAACCGTACCGCAGCCTCAATGAGAACATTCGTCCCCTGGCACCGATTTTCCTTACGATCCGTTCGCGTCGACGCCGAGAAAAATCAAAGATCAGTCAGTGCCGAGGCTAGTGGGGGCTGTGCGCACATACCCTTGCACAGGGGAAATTACCGCAAATTTACTGGCCACTGAAAATTGATTGATAAAAAAAAAACACGCGGCGCGATGCAAATGCCGAAGCCGAACTGAGCGCTCAAACCTCACTTCCAAGTCCAAACCTCCTCTGCCTTCCTCACTCATCCCCTCTACCCACAGCGAGGGGCGCTCTGCACTTGGGTTTTGCCGGTTTACACAGGCCTACTGTCTCTTTTTCACTCTCAACCACCCCTATCCACGCTTTTTTTTCTGTCTTACTGACTTCGTTACCTCGAGCCCCCCTTGTGTCTCGTCAACAGTGCACCACCTGTCTGCTTGGCATTTGTCCGTCGACCGTTGACACCGGGGGGATTCGCTGTGTATGGTACACCGGCAGAAACTCACGGCTCGACAATTCTGATTATTCATCTGTTGATTGATTAGATCAATGTCTCGTTTGTTTCGGTTAATCAGTGAATTTCATTATTTCTAAATTGCTCAGTGCTGCGCTTCACTTGGCTCAGCTCAAACACGACAGGTTATCTAATATATTGGATGTTCAACTTCGATGTCAGTACCGGTGAGGCATGATTAGGGGAAGAGGTGCCGGTGCCGCCCTGGGGACCGCTCCCCCACTTATCTCCACAAACAGAAGCATTTTTCGTATTTTTTGCCTCTCAATATCGAGGATCTAATGGCAGAAGGTCTTTACCACTAGAAATTGACGCTTTTCATCCTTTTTGATTGAAAAAATCATCTCTTGACATTTTTAGGTCCTTACAGGGTAAATCCCTGGACGAATATGTCGATTTTTTACTACACGGTTAGAAATTTCTTGAAATTTCGGTAACGGCGTCATCTGAATTCTCAATGTTGCGAATTTGAATTTCTTTCATAAAATTTTTTATTCATCTTGGAAATTCAAGAAGATTGGATTTTTCATATTAAGCAATCATTGATATTTCAATGAAAGCTTGAATTTTCAAACTCATTGCGAAAACTAAACATTAGGTGCAATGCAATTTTTTATAGATTGAAATTTTATAGAATTTTCAACATTTTTCAGTGCCGTATGGATCTTGAAATCGAGAATTACTTGAATATTTAAGAAATTAACTAATTCGTCAATGAACAAATTCGAAGAAATCTCATGTAACTTTGTGGTTATTAAAAATTTCAAGCTCGTTCACTTGAAATTTCTAGAATAATTTTCTAACAGTGTAGAGAGAGAGATTTCGTGTCTTCTAAGTGGAAAGTCGATTTCATTCATTCAATCCAGTTGTTGTACATTGAAGAGTTATTCCATGTGTCAAGTATCGAATGCAAGTTAAATATACGAAATACTGCGCGGTATTACAATTCAATTTATTGTCCTTGATGTGACAAAAGTATTCTTTGTTTTACATCCATACTAGCCGTTTTTCTCACCCCAGCTAACTGAAATAGTATTATTTCAATTTAATAGAATCAATACATTCAATTTTAATTAATTGGTATTACATTCATTTAGAGAAAAAATTAGCAATGGTAAAAATTCCAATGCGAACAGTTGTATTTTTTTCTTGCACGAGGAAGTCACATTCCATCTGCCGTTAAAAACTCATAACAAGAAAGAGCAATTTCCATTAAATTTCACCTCTGCCACACGAATACATTTTGTGTTTGCTAATTTCGGTTCATGACGTCAGGGCACTTTTTATTGTACATACACAGAGCTCCAGAACGTCTGTTCCTAAGAATGTCAATTCTAACAGTTCAATTATTCACTCATTAAATTATCAGATGAACGTCTCGTTGGGTTATAATTACTCAGCGAATGTAAATATATTTACATCAGGGGTTACGTAAGAAACATAACAGATCATTCAATATGAAAAATTCGAAGTCGGTACCGGTGGGGCACGATTACTAAATTTATACAAGAAGATATATTTAATTTATTCACAGAGGGAAAATTCAAGACTCGCACGAGTCCCAGAACGTCCGTTCCTCTTGGCTTGTCATGCATGATTTTTCCTCGCATAAAGTACAATGGTAAACCCGTATGCGGACGCGGTATCCCTGCTCTCCTTGCAAGGGGTTTCTAGCTATCTAGTGTAGGCGTCATGCTCTGTAGCGTCTAGCATAAAACGTATACTATATAGAAAGTTGAAAATTTGAGGTATCATGAGAGCCAGCCCTATTTCATACATTTAATCTCCGTTTACCGCACATAAAAAAAAATGAAATTTCACGGACAGTCAGCTAGTAATTTTCAGGAGAGTAACATTGAATACGATTTAGGGGGAAAAAAAATACCAAAATATCAATTTTACGGAAAATTCAATGAATTTCCAAATTTTCCAGCAGCATTAAGGCAATAATTCCCGAACTTATTTAAATTTCCACTGAAAACTTGAATTCTTCGCGCCAAATTACGATAATTCTGCAGTTAAGTGAAAATTCAAGAAAATATTTACCGAAATTTTCTTGATTGTTATCAATTTTTTATCAATTTTCAATTTTCTCATTGATTTTTCCAGGAAATTCTGAATTTTCAATAACGAAATCTCTTCAAAGTCCAGTGGAACTGTAATGTGATGAAAATTGGATACCACGGGGACGAAAATGTCTCGGGGAATATTTAATTAGACTGACAATGGATAAGCCTCAGCCAAGTTTCGAGAAATGCAGTCTTCTCTCCAACTAGAGATTCTTTTTTCGTTCCAATACAAGCCACACTGTCGACATTTAATGTCTGCAGTGAGATACAATCGAAAATGTCTTGATTGAATACCATTTCCTGCTGATCCACAATAGAAACATGAAATTAGTCAGTGTCCATCACCTAAAACGTGCCCCGCCGTTTATAAAAGGGATATAACCAGTGCTCCACTTTACTCGCGCTGAGAAGAAAATCATGAAATTGTGCGAGGTTACTTCAGTCTCCGTCATCATAAATAACTGAGCTATAATTATTGACAATAAAGATAATTGGGTTGTACACAATCTAATGGAATGAATCTCATAATCATTTGGAGCATAATTCCAATAATAGAGGAGATCGATTCAATTCGAACTTTTAGTAGAATTGAATCGAAGGATAATGACATCATGACTGCCGCATGACGCCCTCGACGGCCTAACGCGATACTCTCATCCGAAGCTTTGAAAACATTCGTTGATAACTAACCAACAGTGTTACTTTACACTCAGCGGATGAAAAAGATTTCGTCGAGGGCACCCTCTTACCGACGGTGATTCACGCTGCAATCTTTAAATAAACGAATGATAATGTATTTTCACGAGAAAGAATTATTGACTTATTTCAATGAACATTAAATATTGCGCTGTAAAGTTAACTAGGTATTCGGAAAATGCGAAGTATGTTCAACTCGTAATGAGTTTATTATTCATTATCATCCACCGCCTGCATCCCAGTGCTCATCCACTCTCCAGGAACTGAATTTAAAGTTTTATTTGACTTGAGTCCTCGTATAATTGCAATACCCACTTCTTCACTTTAGTTGAGGTCTTTCAGTCGTTGATTTTCATCGCTTGAAACGAAATTTCCTCGTACAAAACTGATAAAACTCGTCTCCAAACTATTCGAATAGCTGTGTCACAGCACAACATTCATGTCTACAAATGTACATTGCAAAAGCCACAAGCAATCCATTTTCTCAATATAGGAAGTCATCTCTTGTTTGCTCCAATGGTGAGTGTCAACTGCAACAAAATCTCTTATACGTAACTTGACTTTGTTTTCAACATTCAGCTATAACTTTTTGAATGAAATTCCAACAATCGAGTGGGGCATCAGAGTGAAAACGGTAAACAACTTACATACAGTTTGCTCAACTTTGTGTGAATTCTCCTCTTCCGTTCACCCCTCATCGATTCCATTTCCTCCCAGCACCTTATGTGAAGAATAATTTCAAAAGTTTCCCTAGTTATCAATAAACTTTTGCAGTGAATTCAGTGAATTCCACACTGTGTCAAGAAATATATACGTTACAATACAGTATTATAGTTATTTTTCTGAAAATGTTGGTAGTGTCATTTTACTTTTTGATTCGTTGCTGGAGGGAACTAAAAAGAAGTATACTTTTATCTCCTTTTCTTTCCCCTTTCTCTCTCGCCAGATACGGCATCCCAGAATCGTTGCATTTTACATAAAATTATGATAATACAGGCAGTCGTGGGGATAGTACTTTGTCATTCGTCCAACAAATGTCACACGAAAAAATTACTCCCAACGCAACTCATCCATCAAGATGTATTATTGGTTTCATCATTCTCCCCTAATTTCTGTATTAAAATGCAAACAGTGCTTTTACCCCCTGACATTCCAAGCAATTCAATTCTGGGGATTTTTTGTTATCCCATCCCAGTAAAATTGAAACAAGTACAATAAATTGTTGGAGAAGAAAAATTGCGGGGAAAGCGTATGAAAATAAAATTGTCAAGGGACTAAAGACAGTGGCACAAACACGAACGAAGAACACAATACAGTCCCACGAGGCCAAACCCAGTTGTATACATGGCTGCCTCAACGGTCCTATGTTCTTACGACTTGCCAGGTTCCTCCTCGTTTCTCTTGTTTTTCCAGCATTCGAAAGCTTGACCAATGTCCCAAACGTAGCTAAATCATTCACCGAGGGGTTCACCTGCATCACAACACACAGAGTATTACGACAAAGAGTAGGTGAGTTTGCTGAACGTAAACTCAGCGGCATTGAACGAATACGAGGAGGAAGCTGAATAATTGTTTATCCTCCTTCGCTGAATAAACGCTTCAGAAGGGATACCTTTCAGAAGGCTCCAGGAGAAACTGATTTATCGGAAATAGAAGCTAGCTCTTACTACCTCGCATCAACTGCTTTAATGAGAGATGGATCAAGTTCTAACATTTTCGTTCGTTGCTTCCCTGGAACATTTGTTTTTTATATGGAGAAATCAGTTTAATGAGGTATTCGACATTTTCATTTCATGTGAAAATATTTGAGTTGTTTGCATCTCAGCAGGATTTCAGAGCTATTTAATGAAGCTGAATATTGTTTATCCTGTTTTACTAATGATGAATAAAGGCTTTGAGAGGGATGCCTCTCAAAGGA